ATGGCGAATTTCGAGCTGCCGCAGGTTGCGATCAACTTTTTCGACAACAGCGCCTGCGGCGCGGACCCGAAGGGCGAGGCGTGGAGGAGCAAGACACGCCGATGTCGATCGACGTTGCCGATCGACGTCGTCGGACCGTTTTGTTCGGGGGGCGTTTCTGGAGGGTCTCGTCGCTACGGCTGGGCGCAGCTCGAGAAACTGGCCGGGACGGACCCTGGGAGGGGTCCTGACACTGAGTTTGAGGGGACTTTGAGGTGCAGGCAAGCGTACATACCGATATTGATGTTTGTCCTTCGTCTTCGCCTCTTTGGGCCTCCCGGGAGGCCCTCGTCGCCACGGCTTGATTCGCCGCGGACTTCTTGGTAAGAGCGCAGCAGGGATTTGTCCAGGGAGCAGCGGTATCGAGACGCTATGTTCGCGCTGCGTTGACGCGGCGGCGACTCCAGCGCGGGCGTTTCAGGCTGATCGCCCCCAGTGGCTCAGAACCAGCCGACGTTTACCGATCTGCGCAATCGGAGAGCCCCGCGGGGGATTACACACCGACACCTACGCTTTCTTTCCAGGTCACCCCCATGGGCGCGAAACCAACCGCGCCTCGCGTGCCGCAGCCGAGGCCGCGTAGCCGCCCTCGTTGACGGCGGCGGCGCGACGGCGCGGAGAGGAGCTGCGCGTCGTGCACCGCGGGGCGCGCAGTGCGGAGTTCCCTCGCAGGCGTGCCGGAGGGCCCAGAGCCAGGCGTCCTTGGCGATCTCAGTGAGCAGCGGTGTCGCGTCCCTGGTGTGCCTCCTCTGCGGGCCCTCCTTCGGGGTGCTCAGCGACGCGTGGGGGCGCCGCTTCTACACGGTCGGCAGCGTGGCCATCGCGTTGGTGGCGATGCTGGCCCTGCTGGCTCACGTGTTCGGGCTCGTATCACTGTGGTTTTATTCAATCGCTTCGCTCGTTCCGTCGGCCCAGGTTGCCTCGCCACTGTCGTTTGTCGGGGTGTTGTTGTCGATGCGGTGCGGTTGGGCGGTTGCGATTTTTCGGAGACGGTGGGTGGCGGGTCAGAGGTCTCACGGATGTTGGTTGGGCTCTCGTGGTTGGTCTCTCAGGGGCATTCGGGAGGCAGTTTTGAGACCTCTTGGGGGCCGTGTTGGGGCCTGTTGGGGCCTCTTGGGGTCTCTTGGGTGCCCCTTGGGGCTTCTTGGGGCACCTCCTGGGCCTCCTGAGGCTGAAGGCTGGACTTTTCTGACCCTGGTCCCCTTCTTGGGCCCCTCGTGAGGCCGATTTGGGGCTCTCTTGGTCTGTCTTGGGCGCTTCTTGGGCTGTCTTGGGGCCATCTTGGGCCGTCTTGGGGCCCTCTTGGAGGCTTCGTGGGTGGTCTTGGAAGCCACTTGGGCCGTCTTGGAGCGCCAGTAAGCCGAAAAGGCGAGGTTGCCAAACACCATCAGAAACTGAAGGACGATCACTAACTTCTGCCTCTGTGGGCCCTCTTGGGAGGTCTCTTGGAGGCTTCTTGGGGCGTCTTGAAGGCGATTTGGGCTGTCTGGAGGCAATCTTCGGCGTCGTGGATCGCTCTTGGACCGTCTCGGACCATGTTGAGCTCTCTTGGAGGCCATACTTGAAGCGCTCCTGGAGCGCGCATGGGAGCCTGCTGGGACCTGGCGCCGGGACTTGCGTGGGTACTTTTTGTCCGACCCCCAGGGGGTGCGCGCGAACTAGAAATATTGTAACCAGTTACTGGAGATCTTAGCACGCCCTTAGCCCGTTGGGCCGGCGAATTTTGGGCTGAACGTGTTCTCGGCGCTCATCCTGCCCGCGCTTTTCTCCGTGGTGGCCGACGAGCACGCGCCCGCCGAGCGCGCGTCGGCGTTCGCGCGCGTGATCGCCGTGTTCGACGGCGTGATCTTGGTCGCGCCCGCGATGGGCAAGCTGGGGCTTCGGGCGGGGACCGCGCTGATCGCAGGCGTCATGGGGCTGGGCCTGCTGCTCATGGCGGCGTACCCAGAGAGCCTCCCGCATTCGAAGCGCATCCCGGCGCAGAGGGCCCGAGGCGCCCCGCAGGAGTCTCGCGGAGGCCTCGAATGCACCGTACTGCGCTGGCGTCTCTCGAGGCAGCGTCGATCCTCGGCCCCGGAAGGGTGCGGTGAACAGGTTCTCGGCCTGCAGGGCCGAAACACTGTGCAGCGGCCTCGCCTCCAGATCGATACCCGCAAAAAACCATCGAACAGCGGGGACCGCCGATGGGGCCCTGCGCGCCGCCGCGCTGGCCCCGGCCAGGCCCTGTGGCCCGGCGGAGGGGGAAAGAGCAGGGAGGCAACGACAAGCGCGCACGCAGGTCGGAGGCCGGGGCCGGCCGAGTGGGGCCTGGAGCGAGCCCGCTTGGTCCAGTCAAAAACCCTAATATAAGGACGCGCGACCTTGCTCAGGGTACCCTTGCGTCCTTGCTCTTCCTTGCTCTTGCGTCCTTGAGGTTTTCGTCGTCCGCCGCCCCAGAAATCCCAACTTCGGCTTCCAAGGGTCTTGCGTCCTTACCGCGCGTCCTTATTAGGGTTTTTGACTGTACGGTGCATGGGTGCCGTTCTCGTAGGAGTGGCGCCCCGACGTCGCCCTGGGCGTCCTGAACTCCACGCCGCTGTTCCGGCGGCTGGCGGTGGTGATCGTGTGTAGCACCCTGCCCATTCGGGGGTTGCTGCGGCAGGTTCGTGTCGTGCCGTCTGCGGCGTTGGTTTCTGACACCGCGGGGATCGTTCAGCCTTGAACGATCGGCCGTTTCCGAAACGTCAGATCGTTCAACATCGACCGATTTTGGGTCGCCAGCGGCGTTCAGCGCTGAACGCCGGCGGCGGGGTCGCCGCCAGTCGACACGACGCGAACCTACTGTGAAGGCGTCCCTGGTCCAAGGTGTCCCCGGCCTTTTGTTTTCAGTCGATATTTCCATTCTTGTCGTGGTTTAATGATATTTTTGTTCTTTTGACTATTTCCATTCTTCTTCCAAAATCCGCCTGTCGGTTGACATGCCCGACATACACCTTGGGCCAGGGCCACCTCTGGCAACGACCGGCACATGGCCGGCTCGCAGCAGTGCCTCCTGCTCTTCCTGATCTCGGCCTACCACATGGACAGGGCCTCCTCGGGGGGCATCAGCTCGAAGGACAGAGCGCGGCATTCACAAACTTCAGGAGCTCCGCACGGATTTCTTGGATCAGCGCTGCACTCCCTTCTATGGCGCTCGTAGCGCGCCAGGGGCGGCGCCGGAGGCGCCGCAAGGGAGGTCCGGCGCCGATCCAAGAAGTCCACGCGGACCTCCGAAGGTTTGCGCTTGTGCCGTTTTCTCTTCTTTGTCATCGCCGCCCTGGGCGCGAGCGGCCTTGTGACGCAGGTGCAGGCAGAAAACGGGGTCGGTTACGCCGACATTCGCGCGTGAGCTGCCTGCGTAAGGTCGCGCGTAAGCGCCCTCGTTTCCAATGTAGCGTGCCGCGCTGGCGGCCCGCATAAGCCACCGCGTAAGGTCGCCATGCCATCTCGAGTAAGACCCGTTTCTTTTCGTCGCTCAGGTGCTGCTGCTGCCGCTGCTGCAGCGGCGCCTCAGCAGCGCGCAGGTACTGCTACTGGGCCTTGCGCTGCAGCTGGCCGCGGAGGCGTTGAAGATAGTGCCTAGCGTGGACGCGGTTTGGGCCTCGGCCCTCATGGGCGGGGCCGCCTCCATTGTCTTCCCCTGCGTCGCCGCGCTGAAGGCGAACGCCGGCTCCCCCACGGAGCAGGGCAAGATCCAGGGCGCCGTTAGCTGCCTGCAGAGTTGCTGCCGGGGCGTCGGGCCGCTGGTGTACGGCCCGCTCCTCGCCTGGCTCGTCGGCCCGCACGCGCCTGGGGGGCGGCCGCGGCCGCAGCTGCTGTGGGGCCTCTCGGTGCTCCTGCTGCTGCCCGCGCTCGCCGCTGCGGTGGTTGGCGGCGCGCAGAGGGGTCATTACTCTGCATCTTCGGGGGACCTTTCCTGTCCTGTAAATGGCAGTCTTTGCTTGTACTCAGACGGGGGTTGGACGCAGACTTGACGTTCAGTCGACGTGGACTCGACACGGATTCGACGAAACCGGCATGTTTTCGATGTATTCGACACAGGTGGTTTGCGTTATGGGACAGACGAGGTCCCCGAAAGATGCAACAGTCGGGTCGGAACCAGAGGGGTCCGGTCGCAAGGGCGAGGGGGAGAGAGAGCGGATCGGCGATCGACGTTCGATCATTTCCCGTGCTGCTGCCTTCTCCTCTGGGCGCCGGGAGGATAGGGTACGGAGAGAGAGGGAGAGAGAGAGAGTCGAATATCAAACAACGGCATGAACATAGTTTCTTGGCGCTCTGCGCGGCTTTCTCGGATCGGCGCTGGGTCCCCCTGGCGCCGCCTCTGGCGCCGTCCCTGGCGCGCTCCGCGCGCCATGGAGGGGGGTCCAGAGCCGATCCAAGAATTGCACTCGGACCTCTGAGAACGTTTGTCTATGTTTTGTTTCACTCAGAGACATGCATACGTATATCTATCAAGAGAGAGAGAGAGAGAGAAAAATGAGAACGAGAGAGAGAGAGAGAGAGCGAAAGAGAAACAAACTATCCTTGCACGTCAGAGGTGCGTTGGAAAGGTATTTCAATAGGCTGCTATAGTACAGCGCCAAAGGCTTTGTGGTGGAGCAGATATGAAACCGCGGAAATTTGTATTCTTATTACAAAATTCTTGCGCATCTCGAAACAAGCCTGAGAGCACCCGCAGAGCCAGGGCATGGACCAAAGACGAGGGGGGGGGAAGGGAACGGCTCTGAACTCAAGGGTCGGGAAAAAACCCGACCCCCAAACAATGCAGTTTTTGGGGAGAAGCATTGCTACAATAAATCTGGGGGCGCGTTTGTCGTCGAGCTTTTGGCTTTTTGGGGTGCCAAGTGGCTTCTATGGGGCCCCAGGGCAATCGGGTGATAAGAAGGTTCCGTGGGGCAACTGCTGGCAGGCCGGTTTCTGATTTGGCGTTTGTTTTTGCTGGACGTGTATCGGGACGATCGAAATGGGTACGAAAAGAATGGGTACGATGCCCAACAGCAGGTCTTGCTTATTTCAAACAGGACTCGCTGTCCGCGCCGTCGCGGACGTTGTTCATTGAAGACAAGACTGAAGCCGCCTGCCCAGCAGCGGCCGCTGCCGGTTTTGGACAGCATCTGCTGTTGGGCATCGTACCCGCCTTTTCCGTACCCCTTCCGGGCGTCCAGAGTGTATAGTCATTTGCCTTGCTCGACTCCCTCCTTTGGGTGCGCTTCCCGGAGGGCTTTTCCTGATTGGGTGTAGATCCCGAGTGCGGCTCCTCTGCCCTCTTGTGGCTCGGGAGGGGGGGTGAGGCACAGACGCAGACAAACGCTGGCTCCCGCGAAAGAGGAAGAAACTAAGAGAAATGGAGGAGACGAGGGACACCAAGGACATATTATAAATCCAGCTGCCTACGGCAAGTCCCTTCCCCGTGCCTGGGTTGTGAGTTATAGGCCTCCTGGATGTTCGTTGGGATATCGTGGAAGGCCTCTCGGGGGCCTGTTGGAGGCAGTTTTGAGGCCTCTTGGGGGCCGTCTGGGAGCCTCTGGGGCCTCTTGTGGGCCCCTTGGAGGCCTCTTGTTGAGACTTCTTGTTGAGACTTCTTGGAGGCCTCTTGGGGCGGAAGGCTGGAATTGTTGATTCGTGTTTCCTCTCTTGAGCCCATTTTGGGGCCGTCTTGGGGCTCCCTTGGGCTGTCTTGGGCGCCTCTTGCGCCGTTTTGGGCCCTCTTGGGCCGTCTCGGGACCCTCTTGGGGGCCTCCTGTGTCGTTTTGTTGCGGTCTTGGGGCCCTTGTGGCCGTCTTGGAGCGTCGGAAGCTCGGAAGCTCGAAAAACACAATGAAAATCAATGAATGTTGCCTCTTTGGGCCCTCCTGGAGGTCCTCTTGGAGCACCATTGGGGCTTTTTGGGGGCCTCTTGGGCCGTCTCGGGCTTCTTGGGCGGCCACGCGGGCTTTCTGGGCCGTCATGGAAGCTTTGAAGAGCCCCAGGGAGGCGCTATGGTCGTCCAGGGTCACCCGGGAATGGGGTTGGTGCAGTCCTCTGGGTCCTACTAGAGCGGGTGGGGAGCCCCTGAGAAGGCTACAGAAACCCTTCCAGGCAGCCCTTGGCGTTCTTCCACGCCCCCACGTGCCGCAGGCACGGGAGCAGTGGCGGATATGGGACAGCGTGGAACTCGTGCCGATTCAGTTGTACCTCCCTGGGCCCCCTCTGTGATCAGCGGTCGCTTCGGCGAGCCCCCTCACTAACTGCCCCCGAGGCGGCGGGCCGACTTGGCCAGGCCAGTGCCTCGGGGCTCACGTACAACGGGGGCCAGCGCCCACGGGGGCCAGCCAATCCCCCCGTCTGGCTGACCCGAGCCCTAGCCCCCCTCGGGTCGCGAAGCGACGGGACGGCAGGTTTTTCCTTGCTCTCTGCCTCTGCGGGCCCTCGCCGGGACCTTGAACAAAAACCGCTCGGGATGAAAAACCAGTCCCTGGGGAATGTGTCTGGACCGCTGGGGCTTCACGTCGTGAAATATTCACGACGTCGGGGGTTTGGGACTTGGGAGGCGCGCGGGGCCGATTCCCCCTTGCCGCCCTCCGCTGACCCTGGTTTAGGAGCTACTCAGCGGCCGGCAGGGCTTCGCGACAGGGCCCTGGCCGACCCGGGCTTGGGCTGGCCCGGGTTGCTGCGTCCCCGCACGAGCAGATCTCGGCGGCGAGCGGGGGGGGGGAAGTGAGAAAGGGAAGGCCTTCTCAGAATGCGGCGGGCCTTTCAGAAGCCCTCGCGCCTTCTGCGGGAAGTCTCCTGTGCCTCCCGGGAAGGCAGCTTCTCAGAAGGCCGGGGGACCTTCTCCTTCTCACTTCCCCCCGCCGGTCCCATCGCCAGAGGTCACTCGAGCTCAGCGCTGACCTGGCTGGGTTTCTGCTCCCGCTTGAGAAGGAGAGGCGGGGCCAGAGGGATGGGCGACGCCCCCTTTCATGGGACTCCCATGGAGTTGGAGGCCTAGGGTCGCGATGGGGACAACGGGTCCTGAGGGAAACGGGTCCTCAGGTTTTTCGCCGTTTTTGGGCTCTCGGGGCCCTCCAATCGCCCCGGGACTGTCAGAAGACGACTCGGGAGGAAGAGTTCGTCTTGGGGGAAGGCCCCACTGCCCATGACCCGTGTCCCGCAGGCCCGTTCACTCCGTGCTAGTTCGGGTTGGCAGCAGCACCAATATCGGAGGTGTGCCCCCACCGAAGGGCGGTCATACCGATCACGGTGATGGTGGTAGCCCTCGGGCTTCCCAGGTGGCCGAAATACCACCACCAGCACCAACATCCAAGATCGTCTTCCCCTGGTGGAGAGGCACCCCCATGTGCTGGTGCTGGTGCTCATTTCCGGGCCTCCCACGGGGACCTCTTTGAGGGAAGGGGGGGAGGGGGGGGGGACAATTTGCTCAAAACCGCTCCCTTCCGTCCTGCCTGGTTCTTCGAGCGCGCCCTGCCGTGGCCAGGGGTGACCCCTCGTGGGGTCTCAGGAGAAGCAAGATCCTCAGAGGTTCGCCCTGCCCCCCGCTCTTTCTCTCTCCTCCTCCTCCGCCCGCCACCTCCTCCTCCGCCCTCCACCTCCTCCTCCGCCCTCCACCTCCTCCTCCTCTTCCTCCTCCTCCTCCTCCTCCTCCTCTTCGTTCTCCTCCTCTTCGTCCTCCTCCTGCTTTGCAGCAAAGGGGCAATACTCTATCCTACTTCACCTCCTCCTCCTCCTCCGCCTCCTCCTCCTCCTGCAGAAGACCGCCCTCCCCCTCCACTCGTTCCCCTGCAGGGTGGTCAGTGCCTCTCGGAGGCTGGACCATCGCGCGAACGGGAGCGAGCCGGGAGGAGGAGTGAGGATTTTGGCCGCCCGGTTGCCTCGGGGAGCGGTCGGGATCTGGAGGCCGATTCTCTCCAGCCCGTCGTCGCAGGTTCATCGCTGGCGCATTCGCGATGCGCTGCGGCCCTCCCGGCCACATCTGCACCGACCCCGTGTGTCGGCGGCGCGCACGAGTGCGCGGGGGGAGGCCCTCTAAGACGGCAGGGGGCCCTCTCAGAAGGTAGGGGCCTTCTCCTCCTCCTCCTCCTCCTCCTCCTCCTCCTCCTCCTCCTCCTCCTCCTCCTCCTCCTCCCCCTCCCCCTCCCCCTCGTCCTCCGCCTCCTCCTCCTCCTCCTCCTCCTCCTCCTCCTCCTCCCACTCTGCAATGATGCCCTTCAGAAGGCTTTGCAGAAGCGTCGAGGCCCTTCCGAGAGGCGCTCGCCTTCTAAGAGGCCCCCTGCCGTCGGAGAAGGCCTCCTCCTCGCGCTGCACCACTGCACGCGCCGCCAAGGTCTTGGCGGAGGGCGAGGAGGAGGGGGAGGAGGTGGTGGGCGGTGGCTCAGTTGCTCTTGGAAGCGACAGTGCATTTTGTTTCACCGTGTATCGTTTTGCAGTTATTGTGTCCTGTCCCGGTGCCGTTTTTTCTGACTCCAGCTCCAGCTTCAATCCTGGAACATGTTTTTCCCGTTTCGGCGAGCAGTTTATTCCAATCAGGGTGTGGTGTATGGCCCTCTTTCTGAGAAGACAGCGCCCCGCGTCTCCCTCCCTCCCTCCCTCCCTCCCGCTCTCCTTCCCTCCCTCCCTCCCTCCTCTTTTTCCCTCCTCCCTCCTCCCCTGCGTGCCTCTGCTCTCCGCGTGCCAACCAGTTCCGCACACCCCTCACACGCTTCTCGGCCCCATAGGGAGCTCCACCGAGCGCCCCAGAGCTCCATTGAAGGCCACAGTGGTGACGTTCGCATACGTCCGCCCCGCTCAGTACAGCGCTTTGTGGCCCCACAGGGAGCTACAACCGAAGGAGCCAGTAGCGGCTCGTAGCCATTTTGGCTCAAGCCGTTCCCTCTGCTCGCTCTCGTGTTGGGCCCCGCGGGAGGCCGCAGAGTCGTGCGCGCTTGGGACATGGCTGCGGACGGCTGCCAAGCTGCCCATGTGGCGGCTGAGCAGCCTCGGATGGCAGGTGCTGCCGCTTCTCTCTGGGCAGCGCGCCGTGCTCGCCAGGCGGCAGCGCGCGGCGCCGTCCAGGGGGAGCTGTCGACCTCCCTCGTGCGCGTGCAGGCGCTCGAGTCCAAGGCCTCGGACCCCGAGGCGGAACTCGTGCGCACGCGGGAGGTACTCGAGGCGGCGGCCCAGCAGGTTGTGGCCCTGGCGGGCGCTGGCGCGGCTGGGGAGGTGGGCGACTGGCTGGCTGGGGAGCTGGTTGGGCGGCTCGCCCTCGAAGCGCCGCTTCTCGCAGCGGGCGCGGCCGAGAAGCAGGGGAATGTGGCTTCCCCGTGCGTGCCGACGCTGGGCAAGCAGAGGCGCAGGCGGGCAAGGCGGAATTCAACGCCATCCAGTGCAGTTCTGGGCGCCGCTTTCGTTCGACCGCAAGGCGGGGCCGCCGCGGCGGTCGACTACTTCGTGGTGCGGGTGCTCGTGGCCGTGCTCTTCCGTCACGCTGCTCTGCAATCTGGAGGGCACAGGCGTTGCGTGCGCAGGCCGCTGTCGGCGACGGCGGCGCCCGCTCGCCGCGTGCCTTCCGCGCGCGCCGCGGCCGATGTGGTGCCGCTGCGCTGGGCCCTGGCTTGCCGCCGTGGGCGCAGCCTGCAGCCAGGCACCGTCTGCGCGCTGCGAAGTGGGTCGGCGGGGGCGGCGACGACGGCGACGCTAGCCTTCTCGCGCTGCCCGCTGGCGAAGATCCGCACCCAAACGACGCACTGGTCTCCTGCATGTCCTCGGGCGTCGGTGGCAACGACGGCGACAGCTTCGGCGGGCTCTCCGGCCCCGATGCGGCTGGAGGCGGAGACAGGGAGGGCGCAGGGGTCTGCCACACAGCCTGCACGACCTCCCTGCCCATGCAAAGGTGTTCAGGCATCGTGGACGGGTACCTTCGGACCAACGCTGCTGCGTTCCTCAACGGGGGCACTGACGGGCCAGAGGATGGCATGGGAGAGCTCGGGCACCAGCGTTCCTTGGAAGGCGGCGCCCTAGTCGACGCGGAGGAGGCCATGATGCTGGAGGTCGGCGGCAGGCATTGGAGGCGCCCCCTTTCAGTGGGGAGGAGGCCACCTCAAGCGGGGCCGCGCGGTTGCGCGTGCTGCAGCGGCACGTCCGCGGCAGCGTCGGTGCCTTTCCCGACGCTGACCGTCTCTCTCAAGGCCAGCTGCTGAGCGAGGTGGCATCGCTCCTCGGCGTCGATAGGGCTCCCTTCTCCCAGTCGAGCAAGGCGAGGCTCAGGAAAATGCTCCGCGACCTCTTACGCTCTTCGTTGTGAGGTGTGCTCCGGATGCACGGTGCTTGTGATTCTTCGTCTCACGAACTGTTTCTGTTTATTGTGCGCATGCGTCCGCCCTTTCCAGTGCAGCGCTTCGTGGTCTCATAGGGAGCTCCTCCGAAGGCCACAGTGGCGACGCTCGTGTGCGTCCGCCCCACCCGTGAATGTGTTGTGTGGGCCAATGTAGGGAGTTCCGCCGAAGGCTCCAGTGACGACGTTCGCATGCGTATAGAAGATGAGGTGGAATACCCTGACCATGGGGTAGATCCACTCGTGGTAGTTACGCAGCAACACGAACCCTGCGCCGCACTGGAGGCGGTGCTGGGTCATGAAGTCGTCCTTCCAGTCCGCTGCCAATGATGCCGATGCCCATCTCGCAGATGGCCCTCAGCATGGTAGCTCTTCTGACATTTGATGCGGGGTCTGCCGCATACGTGATCCACCCACTCTTGGCCGAGACCCTCGGAAGGCTGGTCCAGAACATGGGCGGTAAATCGTACTTTGATGAAAGATCAGCTCGCAGCCCGCTCCACTGCGGGCACTCCACAACCTGATGTCGGATAGATGGCCACAAATGGCCGCAATGTGGGCAAGGTAGCCCTGTCTGTCGACGCGTCTCCGATGAAGCCGCCCCTGAGCGATACACTGAGAGGCTGAACTTCTCGGCAATACTCAATGAATGAAACCACTTTGTGAACACTTTGTTGCTGCAGGCGTCGACGTCCACTGACTCGACCTCCTCCGAATCCTTCCTGCGGGGCTCCACAATCTGAAGGCACCTGATCCTGGCTATGACCCGAAGGACATGTTGTGCTCTCTTTGAGTGCGTCCAGAATCTGTGCTGAGCGTCCGCCAAACCTTCCACAATCTGCAATACTCTGAAGTCGTCCATATGCGAGACTTCCAGTAAAACTCCACGTTCTTCTGAAAATCGTATATACTCCAATCCCAACGTTCGAGCGTGTACTTGGATCGAGTTCTCCAGGAAAGATGACCAAACCAGCTTTTCGTCATGTAGACGTCTGAAGGCGAAGAGGCTGCAAGAGTATACGGGGTGTAGCATGATGTTCTGGCACCACCATCTGCCCAGGCACCACCATGTATTCTGGGTGCGCCACACTGCTCTCGCCAAAAGCTTTGCCGTCGCTGTCGGTGGGGGTGTCACCACAGGGGCTCCCCACGTCCATAGAGGTCTTAGGTATGTATAGGCCAACCGCAATCTCACCATGCAAGATCCAGGAACTGACTGAAGAATAGAAATCCCAGTGTGAAGTTTAGCCCATTTATCCTTTGGTATGATGGCCCATGTCGCGTCGGTAGGACAAGCAAGGAGACCGAGATGTTCGATCTGCTGCGGCTCCGCGTCCGTGGTAGACCATATCTGCGTTTTCTTGTTGTTCGCTTTGAAACCCACATCACTGTCGAAGGTAGATGTTTCAGCCATGTCGTCCAGCAGCCCCTGCGGGCTATCCCCAACAATATAGCGGTCATCCATAAAGCATCCCGAGGGACCAGACGTGATCCAAGGAACAAGGGTACTGATCATGGTCCCAGGTGCTGTGCTGTCTCCTTGTGGCAAACCTCGGTCTGCGTATATTGCCCTCTCTGCAAGTTCTCCGTTGAGGCTGCACCAACGAGGGCCTTTCCATGCCGATTTGCATACATATCGTACTGCCAGAGGGTAACGTGAACGCTCCATTGCAGCACTCGCAATTTCATGAAGGATATTGTCATAAGCGCGGCTGAGATCCAATTCACATCCATCCGAGCTCAATTCGCAATGTCGCAACCACTGGCTGATCGCGTGGGTGACTGATATCTGCTTTCGATTTGCCCATTGGCCCTCTGGCGGCCCGGGAGCTGCAACTGCCAATGCTCTGAGCCAGATACGTAGCAACACGCTGCCCACGCTGATAGGCCTCGTGTCATCCTCTCCCTTGGGCATACCTGCCACTCTCCAGGAGAATACCAGATCATGGAGTTCTCCTGGTGGACAGCCTTCATGTTCAATGCAATACCTGGAAGTATCACACCACAGCGTGTAGAGTTCTGCGATGATCTCTGGGTATAGGTCCGCCAGGATACGAATCTCTCTGAAAGACCACCCATCCAATCCAGCACAACCCTTGGAACTTCTCAGCGCTTCATCAAACTGTTCCTTCGTTGGCAGCCACATCTCATGTAAAGTCGACTTCGGAAACTCAACTTGATCAGCGCGATGTTGCCAGGCTCGAAGGTGTGCTTGTTTGTCCACATTCCCAGGCCTCCACTGTGCTTCCCACTCCTCGGCGAATTGCGAGACGTGGCAAGATGATGCCGGGGGTGCTTGCTTGAACATAGGCGTGGCCACCTTATACACCTCTGTGGACCACGCTGCAAACTTTTCTTTCCAAGATCTCTGGGCTTCACGTTGCAATTTAATGTTCTCCGCTGATATGGCTGCCGTCAGCCACTGGAGACAATCCGCATAACAAGGAATCCCTTCTGCTTTCATGTTGACAATACCCTCGAAGGCCGCTCTGGCAATATCCATGAAGTGCCGTGGAGAGACCTCAGCCATCGCTGACGTTCCCTGCCTGAGCGCCTCCGAGAAGCGACGATGGAGGCGTAGAAGACGCCTGTGTGCAATACTTTGTTCTGGTCGAAACCGAGGTCCATGTGCTGCTGGCCTCTGCGTGGGTTTGGAGCCCTTGCTCCTCTCAGGTAGGCGGTCAATCTCTACCAGCTTTTTGTCCACTGCGATGTTGAGTGCTGCCTCCGCTCGCTCGTGCCAGTAGCGCCATCGCGTGACCAGCGGAACATCCGTGTCGTCGTTGAGATCCAGGTCGATGGCCCCGCTAATATGGGGAGCCGCGCGCACTGCATCTAGCGATTCCTTCAAGAGGCTCTTGTACTCGGCCGTAACCGTCCTGGTGTTGACCACCGGTAAGAAGGAAGCCGTGTGGTGTAGTCGGTACCGTGGGATAGTAACGTATGGTATCTCCAACTGATACTTGACCATTGCATGGTGGGGGATCCCTGGCAAGAGCTTGGCGCCCAGGTACTTGGGTGGGGCATCCTGCGGGTTTCCCCAAGATAACGCCCTTGTCGGAGCTGTCCCGATCGCTGTGGTCACCTGAGCAGATTGGTCATGCGATACGTCCAGCTGCCATCCAATGTCTAATAAAGTATTATATGATGCTTTCCAATTGAGGTCCCCTATGATGTAGAGGGGGTGGCCCAGGTGGCCCAGTGATTTGGCATAATCCAGAGCTGACAAAAACCATGATCGATCGTACCACTGAGGTCCGTACATGCTCAAGATTGTCGCTTTGGTAGTTCTGATCCCAACCATCCGATGGTCGAGCTTGTCGTCCCTGATGACGCTGATCTTTCCCATGGCCCGTCGCCACAAGATCGCACAGCCGCCCTGTGTCGTTGCTACTCTCGCCCCAGGCGGAGGGGGCTTCGAGCATGCTGCACCCCACCCTCGTCGAGCGCAGAAGTTGATCAGCCACCTCGGCCTCATGTCAGGGAGACGAATCTCCTGGAGACATAATACACCGACGTCGTCTGCAACATTGTCCAGGATCTCCGACAATCTGGCCTTCGAGATGCTGGTGACGTTGATCGTGGCTACCTGCAGGCGATCGATGCTCTCGCCCTGGTCGTTCTCTGCGCCCTGTGGCTCCGTCTCGTTGACGTGATCTTCGGCCTGGTCAACCCCGTGGTCAGGGTGTTCCACTTCATCTTCTATACCTGTCTTCAAGCGTTTAGAGGATCTCGGACTCCGCGTCGATGATCTCCTCAATGGTGTTGGTGTCGTCGTCGGTCCCGTCGCGGTCCTCGAAGGTGTTGGCATGGCGTCCCCAGCCTGGGGTGTTCCCTCGCATTCGGGGCTTCCCCAGGCTTGCAAAACGTGGCGACGCTGCCTGGGGTGTTCCCTCGCATTCGGGGCTTCCCCAGGACTTGCGTCCTGACGCCGCTGAGCCGATCCACACCGCTGCCTTTTGGCCTCCCTGTGCACGTCGAGGCATTGATCTGCAAAAACAGTCTTTGAATTCGAAGAACTAGAAAAATCAGTCTTTGGAGCAAGTTCAGAAACTGCTTGGTCTGCAAATACAGCCTTTGAATTCTGGGACGGGTCCTCGGCACTTATGTCCATGACCCTTGCTTTCTTTGAAGCCGTAGTAGCCCCCGAAGATGAGGCCCTCGATGCTTTCACATTTGTCGAAGCTTTCCTTTGCCGCTTGGGTAGTGGTTGCCCCTGGGAGTCATCGTGGCCTTCAGCACGGTGGCCTCCTCCTCCCAGGAGCGGATCCCGTCACGACGATGCTGGGGCTGCGGCCGCCTCCTCCTGCTCAGGCGCCTCGCTGGGAGCCACCGCTGCAGGTCTGCGTAGCATCCTCATCAGCTTCCGCCTCTTGTAATACTCTTGGCGCTTGGCCTTCATCCTTGGAGTACCTTGTCTGCGTCTCCGCTTTTCCTGCGTCTTCTTATGTGCCGCCTCGATCTGGTCCGCGTAGTCCCTGTTGACCATCCTGGCCCAGACGTCGTGCGTAGCCTCCTTGACTTTGCGTGGATCACCTGGTCGCCTGGCACAGACTGCCCACGCGGTGTTCCCTTTCTTCAGAATATGCTTGGCCAACGTCTTGCGTCTGCCGCATCTCGTACAAGAATATACCGTGTTGCCCTGCTTGCCGTCCTTGACCGTCTCAACGTTGTCCTCCGTGATCTGGCAGACGCTGGGCTTCACATCCTCTGGTAGAGACTGGTACCATGTAGTGTACCTCCTCCAAGCTTTGTCGCGCTTACCTTTGTCCATGTATGATAAGCTGGTCACCGCCCTCAACCGTGCTGCCCTATTCTCAAGTGGCTCCTTGGGCGGTGGTGTGCCCTTGCAGGCACGCCAGTGTACTCGTGCTTGTTGTAGAACGTGACAGGGCGCATGCGCTCCATCGGGCTTCCACCCGCAGTCACAAAAATAATAGTTGTAGCGCTCAGGACGGCATGCTGGTAGATCATGGTCAGGGAGAGGGTCAACGCCAGCCTCCTCGCCGACTGATAGTCCCAGAATACTCCTAGCGCGTGCCAGTCGCTTAGCCGTTGGCTTCGAGGATGCCTTGGCCGTCACTTTCGAGGTCTTAGAACGCCCCGACTGACTGAGGCCCAGCATACTCCTGGCTGCGTTCAAGGCTCTCGTGGTCTTCTTGGTCGAAGCTGGACTGAGGCCCAGCATACTGCGTGCTCCTCTAGTCGACGGAGCTCGCGCTGACGGTGTGTGTGGTTCGCTGCCCGTTCCTCCCCCCGTGAATCTTGCTGGGTATGGGAATGCTGCAGTCGTCCATCGTGTCAAAATCTCCTGGGGTAGCTCAACACCCGCCTTTGGAAGAAGAAGTTTGTAGTGCTTGTCCACCAACGTCGCCCACGCCGTCTGCTTGGTCTTGATGTCCGCTGGGGCGGTATACAAGGTCCATGCTCCAGTGCGGGACTTTTTCCAGATAGAGAAGTTCGTCTTCGTGGTGACCGCTGCTGCTCTCACCATGGCCGATGTGGCCCATTCCCCAGTCTTGGCTGCCTTGCGGGCCTCGTCCTGGGGATAGCGTTTGTTGTCCGTCATGGTGGCGGACACGATCATGCGCAGGTTGGCCTGGAGTGCACCGCCAGGGCCCATCTCCTTCTCCGCCATCTGCTTTGGCTTGGATTGGTTCGCTCGTATGCCGTGGGAGGCCGTCAGGAAAAAGCAATCTCCGTCTCCCCCGCAGCACTTCTCATTGAAGTATGCCTCCCATGGAGGCCTCGTAGGCGCCTGTGGAGCTTGGGGTGGAGCTGCTGCTGCTGCTGAGGCTGCTGCTGCCGAGCCTGGCTGCGGCGGCCGCTGCTGTTCGCCCTCCTCAGCATTCTCCATGCCCACGTCGCCATCCTTGTCACGTACTTCTGCTTTGACCTCTGCTGTCGCCTCCTGCACTGGGGCTCTGGCCGGCGCGGGAGTCCCCCACGCTGATGCTCCTTTGGCCTGTGGACGCGGTCGTGATGATGTCCTGCGAGGCACAGCTAGGCTAGCCATGATCCCCGACTTGAAAGTGCATACCTGATCTTTGACCAATCCGTCCAGATCAGCTCGTAGAAACCAGGCTCTTTTACTCGATCGTGTGATACCATCGATATTCTGGAACCCTCTGGCTTTGGCCCACTCCTCGACCTCCTGTGATGACGACCAGTGCTCTGGGCACTTCTGCAAATACCATCGAGGTTGGATGTCGGCTGCCATGGACTTCTGGGATAGAATTCCCAAAGATGCGTTATCTGATGGGCGGTACACCAATCGGCCCTCTACCTGTGCGGCTGCAGCAGTCACCCTGGTGAGGTACGCCATCATGTTCTCGCCTTCTCGTAGTTTGTGCCAGACTGGCACCAGCTTACTAGATTGTCTATTCAAAAATACCCCTGACGGGGCGGTCCACTTCAAAAATGCCTCTGTATCATTCTCTCGCACAAGGATAATCGCCGTCGACTCCGTCTGGTAGTTGACTGCCCCCTTGACTTTCAAAATCTTGGCTGCCAGCACTTGAGGGAATAGTACTGTCGCCATCGCCGCTGGTTTCTCCTTGACCGTTGCGTACGTAGCATCGTCAGCGAACGCCTCTGCAATCGTGAGCCGTAGGGCTGCTGTGGCCAAGGGTGGTGCTGTCGAGGCCTCGTCATCCTTCAAGCCTGTAGGTAACCCTTGGCGTGTCGGTGGCGAGGTCCCCGTCGTAATCATCTGGGCCGTGTGTGGTCTGACCCCAACAGATGTCTCACACATGACCTCGGTAGTGGTAGCCCCAGTCAAAATCGACGGTGCATTGAAGACAATGAACGTCATCCCACTGGGCTGCTCTTTGATGGATCCGAGCCACTGTGTTGCCTGCTCGTACTCCGTGGCCGACTGGCACGTGATGACGGCAGGGCCGTCGAGTGTCGTCGTCCTGATATTGGCGGCCTTGACAATCTTCGCCGTGCCCCACGGTTGAGAATGTACGACCAACTTCGTGTCCTGTGCCTTCTCGGCGGCAGGTCCCCCGTTCAACCACGTCGATGCTGCCGTGGTTCGCGAGAGGAAGCTGCGCAGCTTGTCCTGCACTTGCTCCTCTGTGACCTTAATGTGGTTGACCCTCATGTACTTCAGATATTCGCGAATCTTCTGAAGTGTTGGAGGTACTTGTGTACTCTTGGGCGTGCGTTTCTTTGGCGGCTTCCCCACAGCCACCTGAGACTCCACTCCCATCTTCTCAGTCAATTTGTTCAAAACTGTGGTGATCTGGGTCACCTGGTTGGCAAGGTCTGCAACTTCACGACGCCCCTTCGTCGCTTTGGCTGCGCTCTTGCCCCCACGTCGATTGACTCCTCCTCCAAGCAATATGTCGTCGGAGTCGTCCTCATCTTCCACTGATGCGTCTTGCTGAACGTCTGGTTCAGCCGTACCCACTACCCTGCCACAAGGGTCAAGTAGTGTTACTTCTTCCCAAGAAATTTGATGTTCGTCACCGTGACTGCGGGGTGCAGTCTTCGCCTCGGACAAGGGGTCCGACCCGACGGTCCCGAGCACGATGTGCAGGAGGGTGGTGACAATACCGTCGACGTTCGCATGCGACCGCCCCGCCCAGTACAGCGTTTCGTGCCCCCATATCATATGGAGGTCCACCGAAGACCCAGTCGGCGACGTTCGCATGAGTTTGCCCCGCCCAGTGCAGCTTTTCGTTGACCCAAAGGGGGCTCACCTGCAAGCGCCTGTGGCGACGTTCGCTTGCGTTCGCCCTTCTCCAGTACAGCGCTTCGGGGAGGGAGCTCCACAAAAGGCGCCAGTGGCGACGTTCGCATGCGCCCGCCCTTGCCAGTGCAGCGTTTCGTGGCCTCACAGGGAGCTCTTCCGAAGGCCACAGTGGCGACGTTCGTATGCGTCCGCCGCCCATCCAATACAGCGCTTCGTGGCCCCATATGGAGCTCCACCGAAGGCCCAATCGGCGACGATCGCTTGCGTCCGCCCTTTTCCGGTACAGCGCTTCGGGGGGGAGCTCCACAGAAGGCGCCAGTAGCGACGTTCGCATGCGTCCGCCCTTTCCAGGACAACGCTTCCCGGCCCCAATAGGGGGCTCCACCGAAGGTTCCACTGACGACGTTCGCATGCGACCGCCCTGCCCAGTACAGCACTTCATGGCCCCATCGGGGGCTCCACCGAAGGCCCCAGTGGCGGCGTTCGCCTGCGTGCGCCCCATTCACTACAGCATTTTGCGGTCCCATAGGGAACTCCACCGAAGGCCCCAGTGGCGACGTTCGCTTGCGTCCGCCCCACCCAGCGCAACGCTTCGTGGCCCCATAAGGGGGTTCCACCGGAGGCCCCGTGGCGACGTTCGCTTGCGTCCGCCCCACCCAGTGCAGCGCTTCGTGGCCCCATGGGAGCTCCAAGGCCCCAGAGGCGACGTTGGCATGCGTCCCCCCCGCCCCTTTCGGCACACCTATCATGCGTTTTGTGGCCCCATTGGGAGCTCCATCAAAGGCTTCACTGGCGACGTTGGCATGCGTCCCCCCCGCCCCTTCCGGCACACGGTTCGTGGCCCCATACGGAATTCCACGGAAAGCTACAGTGGCGACGTTCGCATGGCGGCCCCGCCCCAGTTCGGCACACCCTTCACGCGCTTCGTGGCACCAGAAAGGGGGGGGAGACCTAAAGCCCCAGTAGCCGCGCCCATGTCGGCACACCTCTAACATGCTTCGTGGCCCCATAAGGAAATCCACCGAAGGCGATACCCACAACGGCGGTATTCATAATTGCGTATGGTTGGGTCATCGCTTTCCCGTCTTAAGGCCACGATTGCTGGAAACGGTGAAAGGAACGGCCCTGCCGCTTCCCAGACCCACCGAGGGATGAGGAGGAGGAGGCGGAGGAGGAGGAGGAGGTTTAACGGGCGAAGAACGGTAGAACTAGACTTTTCTGCCACCGGGGGCGCCTGTCCCAGGGCAGTTGGGAAGTCTATACCCTGACGTGCCAACATAGGGGTATACACTTCCCAGCCGCCCTGGGACAGGCAACCGGACGGCGAAAATATGTGTTTTTTCTACCGTTTTTCGCTTGCTGGTGGGCGGTCGGGGAGCAAACGCGGCTTCGGCGGCGACGAGCCGGCCACAGGTGGCGCTTCAGGGGCTCGTGGACGACGACGCGGGGCACCACGCCCAGCCGGTGCGTGGGGGGTTCAGGTAAAACTCGGGCGTTGCGGCTGGGGGGGGGGCGATCCATGGGGTTTGGCATCGCCCGGACGTGTGCATTTTTCCTGGGCGAGGACCGAGGAGAATCCTTGATCGGCGAGCAACATGAACACGCACGAAATCGAACAAATGCACGGGGAGAGGTGTCCAAGCGATGGCGAGGGAGGGATATGAAGAAGGGGCCCCCTGGGGCCCAAAAGGGGCGCGGAAGGAGCACGTTCCCCCCCTTGCCATTCACCACCCTCCAGGCAGCAACGTCCCCCAAACACACTGTGTTCTGGTGCTTGCCAGGCCCAGCCTGGACACGGAGTCGGTTCATATGCCGTCGTGTCCAGGCCAGGATGGCGTGTATATTCTACCCAGTTTGGGTGGGGGTCTGAGGTGGCCCAGCACTGGTTCCGACACGCAGGAAGGGCTGGCAGGTTCGAGGTGGTGGGTTCGGACATGCTTTTTGCTGTTTCTTCGGTCTCCGCTGGCGCACGAGATAGTCTCCGGGAGGGGTCCAGGGGCAGATTTTGAGCGGATTTGGCCCCCAACCAGTTCAGACCCCCCAGCCGCTTCCAACGGGGGTGGGTAAAACACCGTGCTCCAGTGCTAGCTAGGCCCAACCTGAGCACGGGATCGATGCATCTTCCTTCGTGCCGAGGCCAGGAGGGCGGACCCGCGTACCCAGATCCCCTCGGGCCACGAACAAATATCATTACGGTAGGTTCCCATTATTTTCGGTGTTTTGTATTTCACCGGCCCTCGGGACCGTTCAAAAACTGGTTCTAGGGAATGGGTCCAGACCGCTGGGGGTCCTCCACGTCATAAACATATCATGACGTCGGGGGTCTGGGTAGACTATATAGACATTCTTTGTTGTCCCCCGGCGAGAACGGGCGTTACCAGGCGGGGGAATGGCTAATTCCCAGACGTCGCCAGCGCGAACCGCGACGTTCCCAGAGGGGGCTGGTAACGGTTGTTATCGCAAATCATAAGCAGTGTGCTCAAATGTACACATGTTATGATAGGCACCTTTCCCAGGGACTGGAGCGCAGAGGCGATTATTATGAAGCCGTCCGCGCTTTTCCTGGCCGTTTGCCTCGGGGCATCCCAGCATTCTGAACATCCGACGCACCCTTCGCGCAGATGCCGATGTCAGGGTCAGACAACACAATCCATTTTCAGCTATTCAACATGCAACGTTCAAGCCATACTCATCTGACAAACCGATGTTCAAACCGATGTTCGAACATAATCGGCTCAACTTTAGTCCAACCTTCGCTTGTGTCATCAAGCCCATAAGGGCGCTTCCCCCGCTTGTTTTCCACAGCAATCGCAGGGTGTGACACTCCTAGCTGCGCGAAGCTCGTCGCGCAAGGTGTGGCAACCTCATGCGCGGCCGACTGCGCCAGATGCACTTTTGCGCTGGCCCCAGAGCCCAGAGAGGCTGCCCCCCAGAGACCGAACTCGAGGAACCACATCTTCTTGTCGTCGCTCGGACGTGTGCATTCTTTCGCCGGCGAGGACCATCGAGGAGCATTTTGACCATCCTGCGAAAGAAGAAGCGCACGAAGTCGAAAAAATCATGGGGAGTGGACGTCCGAGCGATGGGGAGCCTTGGGGGGAGAAGCAGCAGTTTTGGCGCCGCGGCCGTACGCGCGCAGCGGCGCAGCGCAGCACACGTCGCTCGCGAGAGAGAGAGAGAGAGAGAAAAGTGCGCGCGGGCCAGCCCCGATCACTCGGCGTGGAGAGATGCTGGATATCCTCTCGCGACGGGGGAGTCGCGAGGGGAGCAGCGTTGGAATGGGGGGAGACGGGAGACACGTAACAAGACACAGACACGGACACAGACACAGACACAGACGCAGACGCAGACGCAGACACAAACGCAGACGCAGACGCAGACGCAGACACAGACACAGACACAGACACTGACAGATCCATGTGAAAGAGCGTGTTCTACCGCTGCTGGCGGAAAACCGGGGGGGGACACTACTGGTTCGAACCCCTCCCCCCCCCTCCAGAAAACCGGGGGGGGTCACTACAGGTTCGAACCCCTCCCCCCCCCACAGTCCATCATGAAAAGGGGGGGGTCACTACCAGTTCGAACCCCACCCCCCCCTCCCCTCGAAAACCGGGGGGGGGTCACCACCGGCCCGAACGCCCCCCCCTCCAAAACCCGGGACAGTGGGTGGTGGGGACAGTGGGACAGTGGTGGGGACGGTAGTGGTGGGGACAGTGGTGAGGACAATGGTGGGAACAGTGGGGACACTGGGACAGTGGTGGGGATTGTGGTGGTGGGGACAGTGGTGTGGGGACAGCGGGAATGTGGTGGAAACAGTGGGACAGTGGAGGGTACAGTGGTGGTGGGGACACTGGTGAAGGCGGTGGCGAGGACGGCGGTGGGACAATGGGATAGAGGTACAGTGGGGACAGTGGTGGGGACAGTGGGGACAGTGGTGGGAACAGTGGGACAGCTCAGTGGGACAGCGGAGGAGTCAGTGGGACAGTGGGGACTGGGGATAGTCGGGCAGTGGTTGGGGACGTGGAGAAAGTGGGGGGAGTGGAACCGTGGTGGGAACAGTGGTGGGGACAGTGGGGACAGTGCGACAGAGGTGGGGGCACTGGTGGGGATAGTAGGGACGGTGGTGGAACCAGTGGGGACAGTGGTGGTGAGGACAGTGGCGCTGGGAACAACAGTGGGGGATGTGGTGCGGACGGTGGTAGGGACCGGGAGTCGTTTGCTGGCGGTGAGGGGGGGGGAGGGGTTCGAACCGGTAGTGACCCCCCCGGTTTTCGAGGGGAGGGGTGGGGGGGGGTAGGGGAGGGGGGGTTTTGCCGGGGGAGTGGAGGGGGGGGGGGTTCCAGCAGGGGGGGGGGATTTTCGGAGGGGGGGGGACCCCCGGGTTCCGGAGGAAGAAGGGGGGCAATTTTCCACAGTATAGCGGCGGTGGATCACGCTCTCTCATACATGTGGAGAGGTCCCCTGAGGCCCCGAAGGTTTCGGAGCTCCCACGGGGCATTTGGAACTAGGATGCGATTTATTTTCTCCGTGGGCTAGACGAGGGCGGCCAACGAATCGCAGCTATGTGGCAGGTCCCCGGTGCGCAGTCTGACCCAATCAGGCTTGCGCCCGCCTCCATCGGCCACGCGGCCGAGACAATTGCGCAGCGCGCTCCCCAATTAGGCTTGCGCTCTTCTGGGTCTTCCCTTGGGCTGTGGCTTCGCCGTCTGCTGCTTTTCCGTAACCAGGTTGGCTCAAGCCCAAACGGACTTGCAGCTAAAAGGTAATATTGTAACCTGCCCGAGCGCAGAGTGTGCAGGGGAAAGCAAAGTTCCGACCGAGGACGAAAAGAGCCGGAGTGCAAGCACGGGGCAGGGCCGAATACTACGCAGGGTTCCAGAGGGAGGGGCAAACTCAACCACTTAGGAGCGAGACTCTCGCAGAGGCCCCGCAACGTGACACAACAAGTGGGGGCTGCTCCAGGAAACAGCCAGGGCAAGATTGATCTTGTGTCGTCTCTGTCCTGCAAAATGAGCACACGAACCTTGGAACAACGGAGAGCGCAGACTGCCAATTCGAGGCAGGCGCTGGCGGCTCGCAGGGAGCTGGGCCGCCAACGGAGGGAGCAGGCAGCTGCAGCAGCAGCTGTCGCGCAGGAAAACACACTGAATGGATATGAAGAGCGGCGGCTGGTGGCTCACTGGTCGGCGTGGGCTGGCAACGCCTGGGTGGAGCAACGGGAGCAGGTCCGGCCTGTTCGAGCCGCCGATTCTCGCGGCGAGTTGCTGGAACTCGTGTGCGTCGAGTGTTCGGAGTTCATCGGCGCGGAGCTGTACGCGAATTGCAACAGGTGCGGCCTGCCCGTCCGTGCGCCGTGCGGTTACCGGGGCTACCGCGGTGAGTGTTTGCAAAGGCTCGAGGAACTCCTCTGTGCGGAGCGCTTGCGCGGCGAGGTGGCATCCCAGCGCCGTTCTGGCATGGCCTCCCGCGCCCTACGGGCGGCAGTGCCTACTTGGGCGACCGCGAGGTGGAGGCGGCCGCGGCGAGGGGGCGCGAGGCGCGCTGGCAGGTTTTCCGCGCGGGCGATGCGGCGCCGCTCGAGCGGCCGCCGCGCGCGGGCGACCCGTGCAAGGGCCGTCTCGAGGCGATGGGCGGCGCGCGCCGCGTCATCCCCATGATCGGAGAGCACCGCGCGGCGCTGGCGGAGCTGGACAGCCAGACATTGGTTCCCCGCGCCGGCTGGAGATCGCGGCTTTGCGGCTTCTCGCGTGGCCCTCGTGCTGCTGGCTGTTTGTCGTCCGCTGAGGTTGGGCGGGGGCTCGCCGTCTGCCGAGGTGCCGCTTTTCTTTGAAGGTGTTTGTCGACCATGTTCGAAGGCGGCGCCTGGAGTGCCGTTGTTGGCCGGGGGCTCGAACGGGGCGTGCCTCGGCGAAGTGCGGGTGCCCCCTGGCCCCCCTGGCTCGTCTTGGCGTTCGGGCCGACCGCGCGCGGGTTCGGCTCTACTTTCGCGCCTGCGGGGGGGCAGACCTTCGAGCCGACCTTGACCGAGGCGCGCGCCGACGCGCCCTGCGTGGATCTTCGGGCGGAGGTCCGCTTGCCTGACAGCCGCCCGGGCGGAGGCGTTGGATTTGAGGTTCCGCAGGCCCGGCCTGGAGAGATCGCGGCTTCGTCGCCGACGCTGGGGGGCAAGTCTGGGGGGGGTGCCCAGCGCGCTCGTCGACGGTCCCCCGAGGCCCGTCGAGCCGCGGGGCTTGGGCGCCGACGAGACTCGCGGGGCCGAGGCGGTCGAGGTCGTCTTCGACGCAGCGGCCACTCGTGTCATGGCAGATTGCGGGTGCGACCCCCGCATTTCAAAGGGGGGTCGCGCGGCCTTAGTTCAGGCGTGCGTGGAGTGGCTGCAGGCGCTTTGGATTGTCGGTGCGTCCTTCGCGTAAGTGAGCGGTGCTGCCCACAGTGTCGACGCGGCCGGCGCTGCGCCTATCCCGCAGCAGCCGCGTCGCAAGAGCCTGGCCGAGGCCGCCTAGCGCGAGGCTCAGCTCCCCCCATGGCTATGATCCACTAGTGTCGTTTTTGTATGCTCTCGTGGCATTTTTTTGTTGGTGCCGTTCTTGCGGCGCGCGCTGGACTCGCGCTCCGCGCCCCGTTGTTCCTTGCCTTTTTTGTTGGGTCCGGGCCCTATGGATTGGCCCCCTCCTTCTCGATGGGGATGGCTGAATCGCGGGCGCGCGCGTGCCCATTGCTGCGCATCTCGCTCACATGGTTCGCGGCCATGGCGGTTGCGCGGGGCGGGGCCCGGCGCGTGCCCAACGGCATGCGTTTTTCATTATATCGGCGGAATCGTTTTGAACGCGCGGTCTCTATTCTGGCGCGGTTTGGAAGTTGCGCGCCACCGCCCCCCCGACAGTGTCAAACGCTCGCAGGTGGCCACGCACCGCCCCGCAGGCACTCGGAGGCCTCCGCCCATCGTCGCGCCCAGGGGGCCGCGTAGTGAGTCGGGCGAGGGTTTCTCAGTCTTGCCGGTCGCCCTCGGCACCCTTGCGCGCGCTGACAAGGAGCGTTTTCTGCAGACCGCTGCCGGAGGTCCATCGAGCCCCAACGCATATTGAATTGTTGATGAGAGAGCTTGAGCGCCTTCCAGCATGCGCGAGAACGTTAGGTTGCAGAGGGAGGTCTTGGCCACGCACGTCCGACATAGATGCCTTGGTCGGTGTATACACATATATGCATGGGCCAATATTATAACAAAACATGACTCATAGTCCAGCATCTATAAATATACATGTACGGGCGGGTATAGAAGACGATATGCACGGACCAGTGTAGCACGACAGCTATGCACAAATGTATCCAGAAGGTGGTAACATTTTCCAGGCCGCCCATGTACGCAGAGGGCCTCAATCGAACATTGCCTTTGGGATGAGCGTTGCCTCGCGGGGTTCTCGCGTGGCTGTGCTAGGTTCTCGCGGGTCTCATTGGGGGTCGGTCATCGGGCTCTAACGGGTCTCGTGGGGTTCGCTGGTTGGGTTCGTCGGGCTCTCGCGGTCTCGGAGGGCAGCAAAAAGACTCCCGAAGGGCCTTAAGAGGGCCCCCGTATGCACCCACTAGAGCCAATCAGGGCCCGAACGGGGCCCCGTGAGGGTCCCAAGAGGGCCCCGGAAATGTGTCACGGCCGTGGCACATCTCGGGGCCCTCTCGGGGCCCTCTTGGCCCACCCTCGGAGCTTTCTCGGGCCAGGAGAAGATTGCGGTGGAGGCCTCGAGAGGGCCCACCCCCGGGGGGGGGGCCGCCGCCTCCCGGGGGCGTTGGGCTCCAGAGCGGCGGGCGGCCGAGACAGGTCACGCAGGGCCGGGGGCGCCCCCTTTCCCCCCCCCGAGTGACATTGCCGCCGTCGCCGGAACACTTGGGCGACGGCGGCTATGTCATCTCGGAGGAGGGGGCAGGGCGGCTCCGGGGGCGCCGAGTTCCGGGGCGGCGGGCGACCGGGGCAGGTTGGGCCGGGGGCGCCCGGGGCACCGGCCTAGCATCCTACTCCTCCTTCATCTTGCATCCTACCCCTCTTGCATCCTGCTCCTCCTGCATCCTATTTCTCCCCCTCCTCCCTCGGTTTCCTCCTCGCCCTGCCTCCTCCTCCCCCTCCTCGGGCTCCTCGGGGCACCAGGGGCCCGAGAGCATTCAGAGAGCTCTTGAGGCCCCCGCTGCGCTCCCCACTGCACTCCCCACTAGCGCCCCCGCTAGCGCCCCACTTCGCCCCGCTAGCGACTGTCACAGGGTTTGTGGCCATGCCGAGTTGGCTTGAAGTCGAGTGCGAAGTCGAAGTCCCGCTTAATATGTCACCTAGTGGGAGCCCTAGTGGGCGCCGTAGTGGAGGCCCTAGTTGGGCCCTAGTGGGGGCCGTAGTGGGCGCCCTAGTGGGGGCCGTAGTGGGCGCCCTAGTGGGGGCCGTAGTGGGCGCCCTCGTGGGTCCCTTAGTGGGCGCCCTAGTGGGGCCTTAGTGGGTCCGCTACTCGGCTGTAGTGGACGCCCTCCTGGAGAAGCCTCGTTGTTGCCTGGTGGGCTTCTTGGTGCGAGCTCTGAGTGGCTTCGCCCAAGAGAGTCCGAAAGGTTTCAAGGCCCACCGACGAGAACCCGACGGAGCCCAAAGCGAAGAGGAAAATGAGAGAGGAGGAGCCCGACAGAGCCCGACAGAGCCTGTCGAGAGGGGGAGGATGACAAGAAGAGAGGAGGGGGGAAGATGACAAAGGGGAGATGAGGAGCCCGACGGATCCCAATCGAGCCCCAAAGAGCCCCACGAGAGCCTCGCGAGAGCCCCCGGGGGAGCCCGACGAGAGCCCCACGAGAGCCATGCGAAACCCCGAGCGAACCCCGAGGAACGCCCTGCGAAAACCCCGCGGGGAACCCCATGAGTGCCCCACAGGAACCCCACGAGAGCCCGATGAGCGAGCCCTACGTGACCCGTGAGAGCCCAACAAAGCCCCACGAACACCCCGCGAGGCAATGCTCGTCCAAAAGACAGTGCTCGAGAGGCAGGCAACGTACTTGGACGGTCGAGTAAACGTTGCCACAGTTTGGATCCACTTGTTTGTCGCTCTCGTTCTACAGTGGCTCATGCACGTATGTTTCTTTGCCCGCCCATCATTGTGTATTTTTTGGATGCCGGCCTATGCTCGATGATGTGACCTATGCCGGCCAATGCGTTCATGCTAATGCAGTGGCCCATGCATATTGTGCACGTCTTTGGCGAAGGCCCCTTTTGCGGCCTAACTTTTGCACGTGTTGAAGCACGCGCAGGCTCCCTAATCGCCGGTGCAATTTGGGCCGGTGGGTCGATGGGCCTTCGGCAGTCGTCTGCAGGAAGCGCCCCGCGTCAGAGCTCGCAGGGATGCCGAGGGCGACTGGCATAGCAGAGAAACCTTCACCAGACTCACCATGCGAGCTTCCTGGGGGCGACGCTGGGAGGATGCCTCCCAGCGCCTG